AGACTTTCAGATAATTTCCTGTTTAAGCCTTTCCCTCCAATTCACATTTTCACAGATTGCTTATGGTGCCAGAATCTTTTTGGGGGGTGCATCCAGGGTTTATTACCCACCTGCTAAGGCTTCAGTTTTTCCTGTGCATTCCTTCTGTTTTATGTCCTCCCTAAGTTTGTTTGCGTTTCTTCTCATGTTCTCCATGATTCTTTGGGGTTGTGCCTTGGCATGTCACCTTACTATTTTGGTGGATTTTTCATGGATGGTTGTTATGGTTTGAAACTGAACTATCTCCCCTGGCTCATGGTTTGAAATCTTGGTCCATAGCTTGCGGTGCTCTTTTGAAGGCCACGGAGCCTTTAGGGAGTGAGGCTGGCTGCACAGGTAGGTCACTGCGGGGAGGAGATGCTATGAAGGTCATAGCCACCTCTGGTCCCTGCCTGTTCCCTTCTTTTCTTAGCCCACCATTACAGGAACTTCTCCTGCCATATGCTCCCTCTGCTCTGGACTGAGGCACTCTGCTCTACCTCCCTGGCTATGACGGACTGCAATCCTCTGATCCAATGAGCTAAAAATAAACCTTGCTTTTCTTAGGTTGTTTGTGTTAGGTATTTTGGTTACAGTAGTGCAAGAATGCTTAGTGATGTGTATTAATTCCCTGTCTTTCTCCAGGAATCCAAAAAACTACAACATGAAACTACTTGGAGGATCTTTGTGATGTTGTGTGCCTTATTTCATTTATTGATGTTCTGTTCTTTTGTGGCATTCAAAAGGGAATGAAGAGCCACCAGCTAGAACATCCTTCTCTAATGGACCAGAAGAAGCCTGCCTTCATTTGTCTCTGCTATCAGATTGTTCTGGGTTTGGAGGCAAATCTCTAAAACTCTACTTTGTCTAATTCTCTACAAAATCTAAATTAAACTCTGTACTCACAGGTGGCTGTGAAGATAAAGTTAGATGATCTGGAGGTGTTTTACAAAATAGCTCTATGTGCTTCCCAAGCACAACTAGGCTGTATGTGAAGACGCACTTGTATTCTTTGTAATGCACACATGCACAAACTCTTGTTTCCACAGGCTCATTCTTTTCATTGCCTAATTATTTTTGTTGCTCCACTCTGAAATTTATCTCCCCTTTTCAAGATCAGCCAACTGCTGTACCCTGTGCCAAGCACAAAAAAAAAAAAAATGCTTACGCTCAGCTCTTCCACATTAGACTCCTGCCAACAGTTCTCATGGCATTTCTTCACTCTGACACACAGAATCAGGGGATGAATCCATCTTTAGTTTGTTCGATCTTCTCTGTTTCTCCTGCCTTTGAATATTCCATCTGCTTACTCTAGATGATGGTTGAAAAAAAATTACAGAGTTACAAATCCTTTGTGCCATCACCAAAGTTACAAATCAATGAAAGTGCCTGTCAGCTGACTGCTTCTGCCAAATCTCCCTTCACTCACTGAAGAAGAGACACCAGCAAGAAGGACCTGGATTCAGTGACCTGTGCTAAAAATAGTGATAGGCAGGAGAAAAAAATCAATCACCTGTGATTTTCAGCCGGCAGCAAAGAACTCCAAAATAACTGTGCTCCCGAAATTTTTCTGAAAGGCTGTTTGTCTCATGCTTTTACAGCATTGGTGCCTGAATTCAAATGCCAAGAATACAATACCTGCAACTTTCTTAAGTTTCTCTTGAGGAACCTGAAAGCTGGAGACCATGTTTTTTGTTTTCCAATAAAAAAGAAAATGACATGGAGGTTGACTTTCAGACTTGACAGAGTCATTCGGACTAACATTTTAAGCAGTTAGAAAGATGCACAACATATGTAGGACATGGTCATTGTTTTATGTAAGACTTGGATAATATGCATCCTAGGCCTCTGGTCCCTGGGAAGGGTACGAGGTTCATTCTAACTGTGACTTGTTTTCCCGGTACAGGGGCAGAAATGGAAATCTCAGGATAAGCAGATAGTCTACCTGGTTAAGGAGAGAGAGGTGGTGCTGGTTAGTTTTGTCAGCTTGATGCAAACCTAGACATATCTAAGAAGAAAGAACTATAATTAAGAAAATGTCTCTTGCCTGGCGGTGGTGGCACACACCTCTAATCCCAGCACTCAGGAAGCAGAGGCAGGCAGATCTCTGAGTTTGAAACCAGCTTGGTCTACAGAGCGAGTTCCAGGACAGCTAGGAATACACAGAGAAATCCTGCCTTGGAAAACAAACAAACAAACAAACAAACAAACAAACAAACACACAAACAGTCTCCTTAAGATTGACCTATAGGAAGGCTTGTCGGGTATTTTTTTAATCAGTGATTGATGTAGGAAGGTTCAGCTTATTGTGGGTTGTGTCACCCCTGGGAAGGTGGTCCTGGAATGCATAAGAAAGTAGGCTGAGTAAGCCATAAAGAGCAAGCAAGTAAGCAGCATTCCCCCATGGTCTCTGCTTCCAACTTCCTGCTTTGAGTTCTTATCCTGATTTCCTTTCGTTATGGATTGTTTGGGGGCATGTAAGATGAAATCAACCCTTTGTTCCCTACATCACTTTTGGTCATGGTATTTATCACAGCTATAGAAAACTTGAGACAGAAATTGGCACCAGGAGTTGGGTATTACTGTGACAGACATGACTTTGTGTTTTTGGGAGGATTATGGTGGCATTCGAACTTTGGGCTGGAAAAGCCATTGAGTGCTCAGAGATTAAGTGGGCTGATCTGCAGGAGCTTGGAAGATAAGAATGTTGAGAGAAATGCAGATGTTGGAGGCCTGGCTTGTGAAGCTTCAGAAGGAAGCAAAGACTCTCTTGGGAACATTTGTATGATATTTTTCATTACAAATATGTGGTTCTGGTCTGCTGGGGCCAAAGAATCAGCTGTGATTAACAAGAGACCAGAACCACTAACATGAAATCTTTGCTTTAGTGAGCCAGTGGATACTGGCCATCTGGGGCAAAAGAATCAACTAAAAATAGACCAGCATTGTTGAAGAAAATCTGGTAAGTATTTCTTCAGGGTTAGCACACAGAAGCTGTCCTCCAGAGGTGGCTAAGGCTGTGTCTCATCCTGGGAGCTGAACTTGGTCATGTGTAAGAGACTCCCAGGTGGAATTGATTTTGAAGGTTGTAGGGATCATGGAGAGCAGCTGAAGCATGGTGCTATGAGAGCCCAGAGAGGCCACTGATAAAGAGGCAGCCTTAGCTGTAGTAGAAGCTCTAGGGTCGAAGGGGATCATGGAGAGTTGTGAGGCTTGGCACCATGGGGCAGGGTTCCTGAAGAACGCTCAGGAGAGGCTATTGGTGAAGGTTGGAATTGAGACCTCTGCATTTTAGAAATGCCAGTACAGAGGAATAACTGTCAAGGAATGTAGCAGCCTTGGAATGGAGTCAGCCTGAGCCTAGGAGACAAGCTGTGTGTGCTGTAGTGGGTTGAGTCAGAGGAGTGGCCCAGGATCACTGGAGCCCACAGGATCGTGATGGGATCCCAGATATCAAGCACCAAAGTTTTTACACTGTTGAATTTTGGTTTTGTTTTAATTTTATTTGTGAATATGCCCCAAGTTTTCAGAAATAAGAGAATATCTAGCTTACTTTTTATTCGATAGGAGCCCACAGCTACAAGATTTTGTAATTTTAGAGAAACTTTGGCTATTTTAGAGAGGTTTGGGGTATTTTAGAAGAGCTTTGAACTTTACAAGAGACTTTGGATGTTTCCAAGAGAGCGGACTTCTAAAGTGAATTTTTAAAGGCTGTGGGACTTTCAAGAGTTGGAAGGTTTTCAGTCTGTGCAGGTCTTCAGATGACAGGATACAGCTACAGGTATGTTGTACTGCCAATAGGGAAATGATCTCATCAAGCTGACCAGGCATTCCCTGGGGACAACTGAGCCCTGCATGCTAAGTACAAGTACTTAAGCCCGTTCTGCTTCTGGGAAAGGAGCAGTTTGATGGCTTGGACATCTGGGTGCATGTGAAGGATGGTAGTCATGTGGTCCAGATTTATGCTATTTGAAAGTCCATCTCCAAGGCTCTGTTGGCTTATTACTAAGGGTTAACTTTGTAATAAATGTGATAGGATTTTAATGTTTAAGAGAAGTGTGAATGCTTTATGTTGTTACATTAATATTTACATGCCATTTTGGAGACAGATGGGGAAGGGAAGGTTGTAGTTGAATAGCAATGCGTTTGTGTGTCAAGTTGACAAGGTCAATTGTGCTGCTTAGTTTTTGTCTGCTCGATACAAACAGACATTTCTGAAGAGAGGGAGCAACCATTGACAAAACGCCCCCATAAGACTGGGCTGTAGGAAGGCCGGTGGGGCATTTTCTTTTCTTTTCTTTCTTTCTTTTTTTTTTTTTTTTTGGTTTTTCGAGACAGGGTTTCTCTGTGTAGCTTTGCGCCTCTCCTGGAACTCACTTGGTAGCCCAGGCTGGCCTCGAACTCACAGAGATCCGCCTGGCTCTGCCTCCTGAGTGCTGGGATTAAAGGCGTGCGCCACCACTGCCCGGCCGGCGTTTTCTTAATTAGTGATTGACATAGGAGGGCCGGCCTATTTTGGGTGGTGCCACTACTGGGCTTATGGTCCTGGTATACATAAGAAAGCAGACTGAGAAAGCCATGAGAAATCCCTGCCTCCAGGCTCCTTCCTTGAGTTCCTTTCCTGACTTCCCTTCATGGGAAACTGTGATTGAGACAGGCAAGTGGAAATATACCCTTTTCTCTGCTCTTTGCTTTTGGGTCACAGTGTTTTATCATAGCAGTAGAAACTCTAAGACAGGTTAACTGTGTAGAAGAGATGAGACAGCAGGAATCTGTAGGACAGAGAGTTAAGGAGACGAGAGAACTATGCAGAGAAATAACTTTAGGAAATCAACAGATTAGGTTTGGAACCGAGTGCAGTTTCACAGATTTATATGACAAAACCAGCGAGGCTGGAAAAGGTTAACTGGATAGTCATACAGTAAGAACTTCCCAGTGCTTACACATAGCTGGGAGATGTGAACATTCTGACAAGCCAGAGTAGAGACAGTCTGCAGCATCCCTCAGATTCTCTCAAGCATCCAGAAATGGCTAAACTAGCCCACTACGGCAGCCACTCTAGAACTTCTATAACAAGACCAAAAAAGAAGCTTTTAAAAGCTCAAAGTTACCTATAAATAGATCCACTGCCTGATGGAACCACCGCCCACAGTACTTCAAGGCTGCAACATTATCCAGGATTCAAGAATGACGAGAGAGGTAAGAAAAAAAAACCCAGAAAAAATTGTGATGAAAATTTAAATATATTATTTATAGAACACAAATGAAAACATAATAAAATTTGTTAGCTGCAGCTAGAATACTTTTACAGGGAAATTTTTAGCTATCTCTAATGGCTTAAATTTGAAAAGACAAAAGGTTTAAATTAATAACCTATCATAGGAAGTCAGATGTAAGTAAAAAAGTTAGAGAAAGAGCAAATTAAATCTAAGGTAAGCAGACACATGAAAACAAGTAAAATAGGAATAGAAAACAGTAAAATTATAAATGAAAGAGCACCAGAGAAAACAGATAGTGAAGGGCTTGCTGTGGGGAGACAGGAAGGGATTAAATAACACATCTGTAAACATCTACCTGGGCTGATCCGAGGTAAGGAAGCCAATACAGATTACCCATAACTAAAATTCAAAATATTAAAAGAGCAAGCAGGCAACATTGTGAACAACTTTGGACTTTCACCAATTAACAAATGGATGCATTTTATTTTATGGAAATCATGCCTCACTAAAGCTGATGGGCAGACAGAAGGAGCCGTTCTGTCATCTAGGTACTTAACACAGTGGTTTGGACTGTAAGCTCCACACCTGACCTGCTTACATTATGGTTCTGCCAGCTCGTGAGCCTGTTACTAGGGATGTCATATAAGCCCCAGCATGTAAACTGAAATATGGAGCGCTCTCTAGAATCATTTATGGAACGTGGTAGTGACTACGTAAAATGTTCTTCACATTCTGTTGTTAGATGAGGTTATCACAGAGATTACTGACGTTCTTATGTTTCCAGGAAGACACAAGGTTCTTTCAGATGCCAACCCTAGAGTTACACTACAAGTAAATAAGATGCCTTGGGAAGAGCGTGTGCGTGACAGCTCATCAGGGGACCACGCATCACCCATTCAATCTCCTTATGGGAAGTGAAAATTATGCTTCTTCATGTGATCAAACCCACCCTTCGCGCTGTTTCTTCTTTGCAGAGAGATTTTCTTCTTTCTTTTCTTAATATTCCCAGTAGACACCTGCTCAGTTGTGCAGTGAGCGCTTACAACACACGTGCTCAGGATGCCAGAGTTTGGCAAGTACAACCCAAGGGAAGAGTTCTGGTTTCCTTGTGATGCCTGTCACCAAAAGCGGCATCTCTATATAACACAACCCTGACATCTAAGGCCCAGGGAACACTGTTGGAGAAGAGGCAGAAAGATTTTAAGAGCCTGAGGACCAGGAAGATTGCTGAGTGGCAGTCTCTCCTGGACAGGGCAGGGATACGGCTTCTAAGAACTCAGTATGGCTGCCTGCACAGGACCTGCAGAGACCACACCAACTGACATCCTAACGTGAATGGAGGAAATTTTCACAAGGCCTCATCCTCAGACGCAAAGCTACAGGCAGGCAATGACTGTCAACTGAAGGAAAACCAGACTTTTGTCGTTATTTTTTCAGGGAGGAGACCCAATTCTTTTTTTTTTCTTCCTTTTTAAACCTTTCTATTGAAGTTATTATTAGCAGGTGGAAAGCTGAATGTGTTTAATATATACAACATAGAATAAATTTTTTTTTAAATTTTTATTCTTGTTTCCCTTCCTCCCCTCCTCCCAGTCACCTACCACCTCCCCTCTCCCTAAGATCTACTGCTCCTCCATTTCCCTTCAGAAAGGAGCAGACCTCCAGTGACACCAACTGAACTTGGCATAGCAAGATGCAATAAGACTGGGCACAAACCCTCATATCAAGGCTGAACAAAGCAACCCAGTAGGAGGAAAAAGGCCCCATGAGTAGGCAAAAGAGTTAGAGACACCCTCCACTCCCACTTTTAGGAGTTCCACAAAACACCAAGCTAACAACCATAATAAATATGCAGAGGACCTAGCTCAGACTCACAGGCTCCGTCTCTCTGAGCCCCTCTGAGCCCTGCTTAGTTGATTCTGTGGGCTGTGTTCTCCTGTTGTCCTCAACCCCTCTGGCTTCTACAATCCTTCCTTCCCCTCTTCTGTGGAGTTCCCTGAGCTCTGCCTAATGTTTGGCTGTGGGTGAGAAGACCCAATTCTAAGTGGTCACCTCTAAATATGTATAATAGGGGTGACATAATTGGACTGAGTAGGTTGTAGGTATATACCTACATGTATTTGTATAACAAAATACATATAGAAGAGGTCTTGGATTTGAGAGAGGGTGAATTGGGTTGGGGAAGATGCAGGAGGAGTTGGAGGGGGAAAGGGATGAGAATGATGCAAATACAGTGTAATGTATGAAAAACTCAAATTCAAAACGAGTTCCATTTTTTTTGAAAAGGGGACTGTTTTGACCCATTTTAGACTAATCTGAAATAGTCCATCAGAGAATTATGATGTGGAATTCTATTTAAATGAGTTTCTAACTATGAAACACACCCTAATAGCTAGTATGGCGAGAGGATGGGGAAAGGAGTCTCATCTCTGTGTGCAGACACTTACTACAGGTTTTAATTTTAGTCTTCAAAACTGAGACTCATAACTGCAAATTGTTTTTTCACCAAGTGGCAGAGAATGTAATTGTATAGGCTTAGGAAGCCTAGTAAATAATGCATTTGGACTTTATTTTAAGATTATGAACTCATGATGCGTTGGATGTGTCTTTTCCCCCTTCTTATCAAATGACTCACGTGAAGCCTGACTCACCAGGAACCAATTTAAAACGTAAATACCCTTAGTTACATTCCTCAGCTCATGTTGTCAATGTTATCTTAAACTTCATTATAAAATAAGCTCAAGTATACAAAGTGTGAGGTTAATGCAACCACCCAGGCAGCTGTCACTCAGCCTCCACAAGCCTCAACTGGTAGTCAACACTGTTTTATTACATGTCTCCTCTCACACAGTCTTCCTTAGTAAGACTTGTACTATGTTTTTCTTTTATTTTTAAGATTCTTTTTTTTATTATAATTATGTGTATGGGTGTGTGTGTGTGTGTGTGTGTGTGTGTGTGTGTGTGTGTGTGTGTGTGTGTGTGGACAGTATGTGCCCATGAGTGCAGGTTCCCACAGAGTTCAGAAGTGGACATCTGATTCCCTGGATAAAGAGTTTCAGGCCATTGTCAGCTGTCCAACCTGGTTGCTGGGAACTAAACTCCAGTCCTCTGTAAGAGTAATACTAATTCAATGCCTTGCTTGGTCATCATCAGAGAAGCTTCCTCCTGCAGCAGGTGGGAACAAAGGCCGAGACCCATAGCTAGACATAATGCAGAGAGTGAGAGACCTTGGAACACTCAACCCTGAGTGGGATATCTTTATCAAATCCCTACTGCCAAGCCTCAGGGAAGCCTGGGAAAGAGGAGGCAGAAAGAATATGCTTTGCATATATATTATGGCTTCCAGGTTAGTACTGTTGTGGGATTCCAGAGAATGCAAAAGAGTGGGTCTCTGCATCTGTATCTGTTTCTTGTGCTGTTTTCTTTCTGTTGGCTTATTTTGTCCTATTCTGATGTGTTATTTTGTATTATATTATATTATTAAAAAAGAGTAATACTGATTTTAACTGATGAGCCATCATTCTATAACATGTATTTCTAAAAGATAGGAAAATAATTAAATGTAAGTATCACACTATATCTACTAAATGTAAACAATGACTAATACAAATAGATAAGAAATTTACACACAGAATATATCTTGCACCTGGTATAAAATTTGCTAAGGTTGATATTAGCTAAAGCTACAGCACTTCATAAAAAACTTGAAGAGAAAAAATTTTCAAGATGTGCATATGAAAAAGGCATTATATTCACAATACAGAAAGAAACTTTACAACCCAGCAGTAAAACAGCTTTAAAAATGAACTAAGATTTCAAATGGTACATCAGCATTTAGAAGAACGGCAAATGAAGGAATGAGAAACAGGCTCATCTTCCTTGGTCACCATGGCAACACAATGATACCACTACAGGGCAGGTAGAATGACAGCCATAGATAAGACTGGTGGCTGAGGGTAAGGAGCTTGTACATCACTACTGGAATGCAAAACCATGAAGCTCCTTTAGAAAACAGGTGCAATTTCTTGGGAATTTAAATATAGCAATCCCAGCCATATGGTGGTGGTACACACCTTTAATCCCAGCATTCAGGAGGCAGAGGCAGGCAGATCTCTAGGAGTTTGAGGCTAGTGTGGTCTATAAAATAAGACAGCAGGACTGTTATACAGAGAAACCAAAAAACCCAAAACCAAAAGCCAAAGACCAAACCCAAAAAACCAAAAACCACCCTCCAAAACAAAACAAGACAAACAAACAAAACCAACCTCTAGTCATTTAGGTATTTATCTAAAACAAATCAAAGTTCACACAAAGACTGTACAAAAATGTTAATAGTAGCATTACTTATAACATCCAGAACTAGAATCCAATTGTCCAGTTGGTAAAATGATAAATTGTGATTAACAAAATGTGATATTGTGATAGTACTCAACCATAGATAGGAACATGAATTTTTTTTGTTTGTTTGTATTTTTTTTTTTTGGTTTTTCGAGACAAGGTTTCTCTGTGTAGCTTTGCGCCTTTCCTGGATCTCGCGCTGTAGACCAGGCTGGCCTCGAACTCACAGAGATCCGCCTGCCTCTGCCTCCCGAGTGCTGGGATTAAAGGCGTGCGCCACCACCGCCCGGCTTTGTTTGTATTTTTTTGAGACAGATTTTCCTCTGTGTAGCCTTGGCTGTTCTGGAACTCACTCTGTAGACTAGGCTGGCCTCAAATTCACAGAGATTCATTTGCCTCTGCCTCTCATGTACTGGGATTAAACACATATGCCACCCAGCTAGGAATATGAATTCTTACAATGGATTTTCACAATGAATACAGAAGCTAAGTAACAGGAGTATACTCTATACAATTCCATTCATAACACTAGTCTAGAAAAGATAAACATATAATGACAGCAAACAGATCAGTGAATGTTCAGGACAAGGACTAGAGCAGGCATTTGACTGCGTGGGGACATGCGAGAACTTTACAGTTTATAAAGGTGTTTATATCATAATTATCATGATTTTTACAAGACTACATACTTTTCAAGGTTTATTGAATTATACACTGTTGTGAAATATTTGTTTCCACTGTGTGAAGATGTGTTGTTGTGATTGGTTTAATAAAAAACTGAATGGCCAATAGTTAGGCAGGAGAGAGAGTAGAGGCAGGACTCCTGGGCAGAGAGAGAATCTGGGAAGAAGAAAGGTGGATTAGCCAGCAAGATGCAGGGTAGACAGGGCGGGCAGAATGGAGATGAGGTAACAAGCCACATGGCAGAACACAGATTTAAAAATATGAGTCAATTTAAGTTATATGAGCTAGTTGGAAACAAGTCTAAGTAAGCTAGTGGCCAAGCTTTCATAATTGGTAATAAGTCTCTGTGTCATTATTTGCAGGCTGGTGGTCCCAACAGTAAAGTTCTCACTACTACAATACACTTACAATGGGATGATGGCAGTCAGTAAAATAGTTTAAGGCCTTTGTCTTCAAGAAGTTTATATTCTTTTCTTTGCGCTTAATAACATGTGGTCTCAAACTAATAGAGACATTTGACAGTTTATGCCAAATCTCCATGTCAATAGCTCACCTCTTGACTGTCAAGGCGATTGCTCCCTTCACATGTCTCTCGCTGACATAGAAAGCCCCCTATGTAGCTCACAATGCAGACGTCTACCTTCTTACCGTGATGACGGCCGGAAGTGTGGGTGAAGTTATCAGTGGGTTTGACTGTTGGGCACTTGCTCCTTAGTTTGTGGATGAATATCTTCCCACTCTGTCTTCACATGGTTTTTCCTAGGAGCCCGAGTTTGGTGGTTTACATGAGCAATGTTCCCCATAGACATAAGTATTTGAACACTCAGTCACCAACTGGTGAAGCTGTTTGGGGGATGTTAGGAAACTTTCAGGATGTGCAGCATTGCTGGAGGAAGCACATCTCTGAAGGCGACTTTGAGAGTTCATAGCCTTGTCCCACTTCCAGTTCACACTGTCCGCATCCTGTGTGAGGTTGGAGATGTGATCTCTCAGCCTCCTTCTGTGACCGTCTGTTGCCATGCCTGTCCTGCTCTTGTGGACTCTCCTGAAACCAAAATAAAAATCTTTATTTTTATCTTTCATTTATTTATTTGTTTTTGTAAGTTGCTGTTGGTTACGGTGTTTTATCACAGTAACAGAAAAGTAAGTGGTATACCATGGTACCTCTTTGTGTCTGCATTTCTTCTTATTGTCATGAGAACATCAATCAGAATGAGTTGGAGCCCACCCATATAAAATAGTTTTAGGTTAATTATTTCTTTAAAAGGCTTATCTCTAAATATAGTCATATTTTGAGTATGAGGGACTAGGGTTTAAACATGAGTTTGGATGACACAACTTGGCTCATATACATAGGCTGATGTTTTCTCAGTAGCTGGGCGTCTTATAGTTAGGGTTTCTATTGCTGTGAAGAGACACCATGACCATGGCTACTCTTATAAAGGAAAACATTTAACTGGGTGGCTTACGTTTTTGGAGATTTAGTCCATTGTCATCATGGTGCAACAAGGTGACATGCAGGCATTCATGTACTTGAGAAGCAGCTGAGTGTCCTACCTCTTATCTTTCAGGTACCAGGAAGCAGTCTATCTCACTGGGTGTAGCTTGAACATAGCACAACATCCAACCCCACAGTGACACACTTCCTTCAACAAGGCCATACCCACTCCAACAAAGTTACACCTCTTAATAGTGCCCATCTCTTTGGGGGCCATTTTCTGTCAAACCACCACACTGGAATAACAGGTCTACACTACCAGTTCTAGCTTAACTCTAGGCCCCTCCTTCTTCTCAAAATTGTTATTTTGGTGCAGGCTTAAGATCCTAGCACTTTGGAGACAGACAGGAGGACTGCAGGATTGAGGCTAGCCAGGGCACTTAGCAAGACTGTCTCATTATCATCATCAACAGCAAAATAAAGGGGAAAACCTCTGATTTCCATAAGTTGTAAGTAAATAAAATAGTTGATTGAAAACAAGTTTTGCTATGAAAAATTTGAATATATCACCCCCTTGCATGCCCATGGACTGCTTGCTCACTGTTCCTAGCAGAGTATCTGCAATGAGATGGAAATGCTTGCCTGCCTGGGTGACTGGCAGATTTTAAAAGAGTCTGTCTTTCTCCTGGTATGACGCATACCAAATGAGGAGAGAAGGCTGTTTTCTTAAACTATTCTGGGATAGGTTTAGCTTTTAACTCGTTTCTTCTTTAGATTGAATTTGGAATTTTAACATGTGCTATGGAAATCTCTGGCTCCTAGAACATTCACAAAACCCACTTTGCTGAAGAAAACAATGGATTTCTTAGAAGAAAATGTGCTATTTACTTGTGCAAACTCCATTTTAACTCTACAAATATTTATGATTGGTAGGGAGGCTCACTTTCACAGAACCACCAGACCGCCTCACTGTAGATTCATAAATCTTTGGCATTCTGTTTGATTTTGATTCATTTTGCAGGAATATTAAGGGATGGAGCTTGCACCTTTCATTTCTCAGATTATGTAGCTTGTTGACATTTGAATTTTCGAAATATCAAGGATTTCTCCGAAGTGATTCA